CACTTATCTATCGACCTACCTACCTACCCACTTACCTATCTATTTACGGCAGTGGTTCCACTAAAAGACACACTTGGCCCCTCCTTGGGCACGTCCATCAACGCCTGCAGGCCTTTCAGGACGTCACGACTGATGGGCAGCTGGTCCCGGTGGGTGCAGACTAGAGATGCCCCCCTACCATGCATGGGATGCCCCGACCACACACCGGTAACCCGGTCCCAAGGCCCATAGTGCCATGTTTGACAAAGCCTATTGTAAGGACACAATTTCCATGATAAACTTATTTCTGCCATTGCCCACACAGAAGTCCCTGCGTGCTTGCTTTCAAATGTTTCCTGTGTAACATGCACCTGGGTTGTGGCCTGCGTGTGGTTTTCTCTGTCGGAAGACACGGAAATGGAAGCGGAGCAGGAATCTTGGGGTCAGCCAGGGCCAGAGAAACCGCACGTGCACAGCCTGGGGCCGACCGTAGCGAGGTTCGGCTCTGGCGGACGTGCAGGGCAAGGCAGGATCAGGTGACGCTGTGGTTTCTTTATGAGAATGCCATAGTGTGTCGTGAGCCCAGACCCTTGAACGAATCTGGAAGTGGCTGAGTGTAAACGATAAAAAAATCCCTGGATGTAGAGTATTACATATTTTATTACCGTTATAAAGCCCCCATAACCATGATCAAAGGAGACATTGCTAGTACTACTGACTGACCCATGATGAGGCAGGTTTTAAATCTATGCGCTGTCTGATTTGTTTTTATCGATTCGAATACACTAGTTACAATGTCAATTCAACAGTACAAGTTAAACACTACTTAAAACGGGTTGAACTAATTATTTATTTCAAATATTCAATATGGTCAACTGCGGGGCTTCCCTGTGCTTCTCAAAGGAAAAAGGCATTTTTAAGTGGGTTCTCAAGATTCCTTTTTCCTGGAAACAACCACTACCTCTACCAGGGTATTGGGTGCTTAGAGTGACGATTATCCACCGTTACTTAAAACATATTTTTTTTCATGTGCAGAAAACCAAGCAGATTTTCCGTGAACACCCGTGGATGGAAAATATCAGCAAAGAGTGAAACTAAATCAAGGAAGGGACATGAGAGACGGCTCAATGGTTAAAACGTCAGGGCCTGCCGTGCCTCACGAGGACCAGCGGGACGCAGAGCAGCCGCAGCTACGATCTGAAAGAGCTAAAGGTCCGCGGCGTGGAATTCATTCCACCTCTGGCAGCTCGTGCGCCTTTGGGAAGGGAACCCTCAGTTCGTCACCTGCTTCCGCATGTGCCCCCCGACCTTCAACGAGCACTGGGGATGTTTGGCGTAGGGGCGGCCTGTCTCAGAGCCACCGCGCGGTCATGCAGCCCCTCCGGGCAGCAGAGGGATCCAGCTGGCACATCCCAGCGCAGGTCGGAAAAACCAATGGCCACATAATGCTAGTCAAAGGCAACTTGGACCTGACACTTGTTAAAAAAAAAAAAAAAAAAAAAAAATTTTTTTTTAAATAGCTGGACCAACTTTTTTTTTTCCCTTGGTCCAAGTACAAATTTATAGAGGCTCAGCAAAAAGGTGGAAAAAAGAAAATATGACTCTCGCCATGGCACACCATCCATCAAGGGGCTGAGACACGCCCTAGCAGCCAGAAGGCGGTGTGTGCCAGGGCAAACCATGGAAATGCAAATAAATAAATTCACGACTTGCACTCCCAGATGTCAGGAGCAGCAGGGCGGCAGGTTTCCTCCGGACCCTCGCGCGCAAGAAACCCCGCATTAAATCACCGACAATGTGGAAAAGCCAACGCTCGCAGCAGGCACTTTTTTCTTAGAAAAGCGTTTTTTATTTTTCTTTTTTTTAAACACGAAGTGAGACCTATGCATTCAATTTTGTGGGTCGTTAGCAGTAGGCAAGAATAATTTGGAAAAAAAGTACCTAGGATTCTCTTTTCTTTTTAATCCTCAGTCCCTGAAGATGGGTTTATAGATGTGTTTGAGGGGCAAGGGAGAGAGAGAGAGAGAGAGGTCTCTGACTGGGAATCGAACCCGCAACCTAGGTATGTGCCGTGACCAGGAATCAAACCCATGACCCTGCGGTGTATGGAACGACGCTACAACCAACTTCCAATCAACGGAGCCACCGGCCAGAGTACCAGTCCTCAGTGTCCAGGTTCAGAAAACCCTCTTTGAAAACATAATTTCCATGCTGATAATTCTGCGCGACCCGGGTTGTCTTTTTCACGTTTGGTTTCCGATGGGTGTCCTTGTGCGTGTTGGCTGCTTCTCCCAAATATGCCAAAGATAATTTCTCACTCTGGCTGTAGGAAACATTTGAAAAGCATGGCTTCCGGGGGTTTTTGATGGAGCCCTCACGAGTGTGCAGATTATACACTAAAAGCAACATTCATTTCCCAGATTTGCCCAGCAAGGCCTCTTTCCTTAGTACAAGGAGGGGCGGAGGGTTGGTCTCGCAAGAGACAGGCACCGAAAGGACAGAAGAGACGTCTGAACGTCTGTGCACGATGACAGGGATAGTTCCGGGGCCTTCGACGTATCCTTCCCAGTACGAACCTCCCCCCGAGCCCATGAGGCTGTGTGCGCGTTACTCATCAGGACGAGAGTAAAATCAGCGCAGTGGAAAATCCTTGTAAAGCCTCAGAGCTCTGCTGGCTGGATTCCCCTTCTTCCCTCCCTACTGTGACATCACTTTTTAAACTTTGCCCTTTCTGGTTTTGTTTCTTTTTTTTCTCCCTTTTTCCAAGGCCCTGGTTGGGAACGGCTGCACACACATTCTGATTCATTACCAAGAACGGCGTTTTGGCGGGCGGGTCTCGGAGACATTGCTCCCCGCCCCCCGTCCCCGGGGGACGGTAAAGCTGAGCCTGCAACAGGCGCCGAGCCAGGCACCTCTAACGAGATAGAAAATCCCGCGTCTACCCCGCGTGACGCCCGTGGATGACAATGAAACTGAAGACTCTGGCAGCCAGGTCCCTCACTTTTCCAGGCCGAGACAAAACCGGGGGCGGGGGGGCCGAAGGAGAGGGAACTGGGGTGTGGCCATTCCACAGGTGTGTGAGCTTTGGGTGACGCAAACTGAGTAACTGCAGGAAACCTGCCGGCCAGCCTTCTGCCTGGAGCCGACACTCCTGTGTTGTGCACTCAGATTTTGTTAACGGGGCAGATTTCATGGTGCGTGGGTTTGGTTTGGTTTCTTTTCTGCCACAATAAGAAAAAAAAAAAAAAAAAAGGGATCTGCGTTTGTCGCTTCCCAGGTTTATAGACCGGTCTGTTGAATGGGGTTCTGGAGGGCCACTTGCGTGTTAAAATGAAATCCGATTCTCTGACAAGGTGCCTGAATCAGGGTCGAACCGCGTCACGGTTCTCTTCCTTTGCGTGAGCCCCGAGCCCCCGAGGTCTTTCATGAAGGCCCCCATGGCGGGCCTTGCACATTTGCCAGTTTTGCGGACGTTCACACGGGAACCGAGATCATCTGGTTGGTAGTTTCTTCCGTGAACATCTTCCTCTCTTTACAATGAAACCGTCATGTGCCCCCTGGAGAGAGCGGGGCCACATGGAGTTTACATCTCAGCCCCCCGATTTATTAACTGTCGGATCTTGCAGAAATAGCTTAGTCTGTGTTGGCCTCCACGCACCACCTTTAAAGTGGGTGGATATCTTATTTCACAATATTTTTAAGTATTAATAAGGGACGTGTGCCCACACATGAAAAATTGCTGGGTCATAGGGTTGCTCTATCATTACACTTTTTTTTTTTTTTTTTTTTTTTGAGAAAGGTCCCTACTCCTTTCTGCGGTAGCTGCATGAACTGGAAATCCCACCAACGGTGCCCAAGGGGTCCCTTTCCTCCGCACGACCACCACCATTTGTCATTTCTTGCCTCATGGGTCGTAGCCATTCTAACAGGGTGTCAGGTGCTGTCTCAGTGTGGTTTTGATTCATATGAAAGGGAGATACCACATCCCCACGCTCCCCATATAGGAAACCAACCTTAGTGTCCATCTGCAAGGGAGCGGATAAAGGAAAGGAGGTACATACACACAACGGAATATTACCCAGCCATGAAAAAGGAAACCTTTTCATCTGCAACAACAGGGATGAACCTGGAGGACACTTTGCTACGTGAATCAAGTCTGAAACAGACAAGTAGGGTATGATCTGACTGATACGTGATATCTAAAACAAAACCTCATAAAAATAAGGAATAAAATGGTGATCACCAAGGTCTAGCAGGTGAGGAATAGGGGAGGCGTAGCTGAAGGGTCCACACTTGCAACTAGTAGATAAGCGAGTCCTAGAAATCTAAGGTGACGTATAGGAAATATAGACACCAATACTCTGTTGTAATCGTTAAACTTACTAAGAGACCAGAAGTTAATTATTCCCGTCACACGCACAAAAAGACGAGCGTGGGATCTCCCGGAGGTGCTGGTTCATGGTCCCAGGGCCATTGCGTTGAGACATAGAAATGGACCAAATCAATGCCATGTGCTCATCACACGTACTCAACGTCATACGTCAAGGGTGCCGCGCCCCCTCCCCCCCAATCTGCGGTTTCCCTTTCTATGGTCTCAGTTACCAAGATCAATCATCGGGCCCTTGACAGCCCTGAAGATCCAACAGCACTGTCCTATGCCTGGGAATATCTGAAAGCTGCGACGAGAGCAGATGTTAACCGTTCTCATCACAACAAAAAAACGGGCCGCTTCGAGTGGTGAGGCGCGTTAACGAGGCTTCCCGGGGGGATTATCTCGCGATGCAGCCACATACCCACGCGTTACGTTGCGCGCCTGAAAGCGATGTGATGTGACCGGTCAATTCTCAGTGCAAGAATTAAATTTAATTTACGAGACAGAAACTATCGCAGACCCCTGGACTAGATGGAAGCAGGCGAGCTCCGGCTTCTCTTGCGACAGAACACACAGAACCAGAATCCGACTTCTTAAAAGGTACAAAGTGTTTATTAAACAAACCTGGAATCAATAGTATTATGCCATAAATTAGACAGCAGTAAAATTTTCCTTGGGCATATATACAAATCACAGTGATTTTCATTGTGCAAGGAACTGATGGGGTTAGAAATGGTTACTCTGCGCCCCCGGCATGAGAAGCTGGGCCAGCCTGGTGGGGGTCCCAGAGGTGGGCCGCCGGGGTGCGCCACGCGGAACGAAGGCACTCCATCTCTTGTCTGCGGCCCCCTCTGGCAGTCCCATAGCCCCGCCAGCACGCGGGCAACCCAGCCAGGTGGCCCACGGCACAGTGCGAGAAAACAGAAAGCCGCAAAGGACAGGCACAGCTTGCCTGTGGGTCGAATGGCTTCAAATCCCGTGCACTACCACACACATGTAATGACTTTTACTTAAATAACACACGTGCGCACCGTGAGAGATCCCCTGAAAGCAAAATGGAGCAACTTAAAAGGCAGTAATTTAGAGAAAACCGTTACAGGGCATGTTGCTGTTTAGGAAGGACTTGTTCCTTGGGAGGCAAGCCCACGGGGTCTGCCAAGCCAGCTCGGTACGAAAATCGTTGGATTGGTGGAAACAGGCCCACCCACGCCACCTCCACCAGCTCACACACGCAAACGTACACACGCTAAACACACTGTCCAAACCCATTCCTCACACAACGGTTCGTGTGCTCTTCCCTTTGTTTGCAGTATGTGGACGGCACCCCCTTACGTGGAACTCACTTGTCAGACACAGAAGTGCAGCGAGGAGTGTCGGGATGTTTAAGGAACAGCATTGGCCACGCAGTCCCTATTCCGACGGTCCAACAGCTGGAGGCAACGCAGCTGAGCGTGAACATGGGAAGTGCTCTGCACGCCACGCACACGTGTACCACGGCAGGTGACGCTGCCAGCGGGGCCAAGGCGGTCTGTACGTTGAGATGTGTAGAATGCAACGAGACGTCCTAAACACTTCGTGCAATGGGTTCCGGGCACCGACGGCGGGAAGTGGACACGCGGTATCTTGTGGCTGGAACTTTGTTTCCCTGTTTGCGTGTTCCGCCACGTTGTCAGCCGCAACCGAGCTGTGCCCATTTCGGGCAACAGGTACTTTATGCTGAGCAGGCCTCCCACTTCTGCGGGGAAGGGATTAGAAGTCGGCCAGGCCAAAGGTAGGCTATGCTGTGTAGTCCGTTGTGATTTTATTTCCTTTTTAGCCTCGCAGGGGCCAGTGAAAGCAGGTGAGGTGCAGTCCCAGTAAGAAAATCTCAAGACCCAGCTCTATATACTACTTCTTGGGTCATTGCCAAATCCTAAAGAGGGTTAACAGTACTTTTGCATAAGTGAATACTGCCATGTCATAAATTAGCATAAAACAAATCTATCACTTTTCCTGAGCTGAATTTTGTGATTCCTTCCATGAATTTGCTTCAAGACTTCGCACACTGATTATATACGATCATAGAAATGGAAATTTCAGAATGAACCCACTGAGTGAACTCTTTTCTAATTATTTACATTGACTGTCCCATGCGTTTAGAGCTCCGTCTGATTAAATCCATATGTTAATGGTCACACAGTTTGATTCACACCTCTCCATGGACACGTCACACGCGACACACGTGTGACACCTCAAATGGGTGGGACTCTCCAAGGGCGTTTCAACAGCCCCGGGTAGTTCTAGAATTTTTTGTGCATTTCTCATTTGCGTTGCGTGGCTGACGGCTGATGACAACATTTTCAAAGAGCAACGTCACCGATGCACTCAAACATCTGTTCTTCTCGCACATTTGTTCAAAATTTGTTTAAAATGAAGGCTCGCCATTCCATGCTTCCCTGATGCTATTTGCATGTCATGGATTAAATCCTGGACAGTAAGAACTAATCCTAAAACTATGCATATGGGTAAATGTGCTTATGTACATTTTTTTATTGTATTCAGGGGCGATGTTTCATTTATTTTTAAAAAATTTTTTTAAGCACAAGGTTCCAAAGTAACTCTAATAATAATCATTGTTATTTATTTTATAGTCAGAAGATAGAAGATATGCTTTTCTTCCTAGGTCCACCTGTCAGGGCACAAAATCCCCTTGCTGATCTCATTTAACATTTAATGATGAAATGGTGCAGAAACTGCTGAAGGTTCAGGTGATGTTGACGCTCCACGAAATGTGCGGCGGATGCGGGCTGAGAAGTCCAGACGGAAAACACAGTTCCGTAGGAACACGTGGACAATAATTGCTCACTGAGTGGCTCACTGCAAAGAGTCTGTTTTACCAAACGCTCACCTCCTGAGTGGGCTTCTATTTGACGAACAGGTCATGTCTGAGAAGAGGGCACGGTGAGCCTCTTCAATCTTCCTGTCTTTTCACGGTGTCATAGGTGCAAGCCACCTTCCTCTCACCTTCCGGCACAGCCACGGCCTTCTGACGCGTGAGGGGAATCTGCCCAACTCTGATCGGTGAATGCGTTCCCTTTGCCATGTTCCTACTGCAAGAAGATGCATGCCTCTGTGAAAAGGTGGTTCGTCACGTCGCTAGATGTGTGGCAGAAGACAGAGGTAGCGAGAGCTCTGGAAACACCCGCGTTTCGGGGCACAGGATGGAAGACAATATCGGCAGCAGAGACCTGCCAGGCGACTGAGGAACACAGCCGAGCTGCACAAGCCTGAGAGAGCACACAACCCTCCACCCCTCCGCCTCCCCCACCCCCACGGTCACCAACGCACCCCCAGGGCACACTGTCCCCATCACACCTGCCTAAGGAGCAGGACCTGTCTGGACAAAACGTGAGAGGAAGAGGGGAGGAGAGAGAAGAGGTCTTGGAGGTGTTGCCTTGCAGTGTCTGAGGGCTCCAGAGGCTGCTCTCTAAATGCACCTGTGTCACATCTCCTTGGGGGCGGTCATCACGGAGCCCTCGGACCAGATCCACAGTGATTTGGGCTATGCTGTTTTCCCAGCTGCCTCCGCGTCGACGCCGCATGGGCAGCTTGCTCGCGTTTTCCCAGCCACGTCCACAATCGCGAAGCAGAAGAGTAGAGAAGAAAACAAACTGTGCACAGCACGGCCATCGAGGACTTCTACCAGTGCCCTGGCTTTGGGGGAAGGCCGGCATCGAGCCGCACGCGCAGGGCGGGCACCCTACCTCCAGCTTTCACGGAGTCGGCCCTGAGGGCCAAGGTGGGCAGAGCGCCTTTCACGGTGTCTTCATAATCAGCTCCGAAGAGAAGACATCCCACCCACCTGACCTCACGCGAACCTGCCCGGTGTACGGGACCACAGTGTGCGGGGCACACTCAACGTGACCGGGACAAGGACAGAAGAAACTGAGCCAGAACACGTGACGTTCCTATGCCTCCGTCCAGTGCTGACATCGCATAGACCATCCAAAAGGAAGAGGAAATCTCTGACTGAACGGGATCCGTGCAATGGAGCCAATATTGAGTCACCTGGTAGCTGTGGGGGAGCACATTTCAGAATTTTTATAGGCAGCCTTCCCCGTATGCCACGTGAAACGGGGGGATCCAAAAGATATCTTGACTGTGTTCCATTGCCTGAACAACTATCATGGTCACAGATTATTCTTGGGCTACAATCCAAACCCGAAGTCCCTTTCCCTTTCTGTTGGTCTGAAGACCTCCCGTCACCAGATAGGAAGCGTTCAAGATGTTGCACGCGGTGTCCCAGGACATTTTCTTCCCAAACGCATAGGACATGATTAAACAAATGCACACGTCATCCTTTTTAGGCTGCGCTCCCAAGAGAACAGTTTCTTGACAAAGAAACGGGGAAACGAAAAATCATCGGCTCTGCCAAGTCTGAACAGTGTCTCCACGGTTTTTGTCTTACGGTCTTTGACACACACACACGCACGCACGCACACACAACCTGTGGTTCTAACCAAGCACGCTCAGGTCGAACCTAGAAAGCTGAGTCTCTGAGGAAACCAAGGTAATCATCACAGTAAGAACCCGCACGAAAGACAAGGTAGCATCTACAACCGCACGATTTTCCCAGACGTCCTACTGTGCCGTCGACTTCCAGTTGCTTCGATAACGTGAGGTCCGTGAATGTCCAGTGTGCATGCCAATCCCTTTACATAGATACGGGGGTGGGTACAATCGGGGTCTGATCCCAGGCACATCCACAGCGTGTCTCCGAGGCGGCGCAGCTGGACCCCGTTCTCACAGGCACGCTCACGCCATCCCGTGTCTGGTATGAAACAGGACGGAGGATTTGGTTAGTTTCTAATATGCGAGTAAGGGGTGTGGTAACCGTAATCCCCCGGAAGGCACCCGACGGTCTTTGACATTCTCATTGCAAAGGTCCGCAAACCTGAAGTCTAGGACGGGAAGTCGTGGCCCACAGCAGGAACTGAACAGTGTTTTGAACGTGGGGTTTATTTTTTTTAACTTTTTTTTGGAAGATGTTTATTGATTTTTACAGAGAGAGGAAGGGAGGGAGAGAAGCATCGATGTGCGGTTGCCTCTCGCGCGCCCCCTCCTGGGGACCTGGCCCGCAACCCTGGCCTGTGCCCTGACTGGGAATCGAACCGGCGACCCTTCGGTTTGCCGCCGGCGCTCAGTCCTTGGAGCCACACCAGCTGGGGTTAAAGGTGGGCTTTACATGTTTGTATGTTATCCTCATCCACGCTAAGAAAAGAGATGCACTGCTCATGCAAAACTGGGTCTTCATTTCAATGTGCTTACTGTGCACAAAACTAAAAGGGAAAATGAGGTGTAGCCTTCCAGGCTGGCTGCCCTAGCTGTCTCCTCCACATGCTAAAACGCACGCAGAGTAATTTGGAGATAAACAGTGAAGTCAACAGTTATTAATCATCTCTGGAGTGCCTTGCTCACGCGGACGCTGTCTTATCTATGGGACAGGTATTTGCTTCATGAAGAATTATGTGCTTGCACGGTATTTTCACACTTAATCACTCTTACTGAAAACAGCAGGTCTTTGTTTTGCCCCGTGTACAAATTATTGTCAGGAAAACGGCTGAGACGGACTAAACTACGAATGTGTGGGGATTTCCAAAGAAAAAGAGCAAAACCCAGATTTGCTGAATCAATAGAAAGCCAAGGGATCCTGCCACGGTGTTGTGATTTCCAACTATTCATCCAGCACGTCTGCAAACTCTGTCCCCGCCACTGGATGAAGTACGTGAAAAACGGGTCCACCAGCCAAAATGCTATTTACACACACTGTCCCAAGAAGACATACCCCATTAAGAGAGGTGATTTCTATCAGCAGAATCTTTTATAGGACAGCTGGGGACTTCAGATAAAAAACTATTCACCACGTACAAGAGAAAAACTCACGGGATGGCCGCTTTTTGGGTCTTTAAGTAAATTTCACAGTATCTATATTAGAAAAAAGAAAAAACTTTGTATTGGGCTTATCAATGAAGTGTTCTTCACCATAAAACAAAGCTAAGTCTTTTAATAATTGAAAGAATATTGAATACAAATCAATCATAAAATGTTTTCAGCCACTCAGTCAAAATGGGAGCAACTGAGTAGGCCAGAAAGAAAAAAAACATATTGAAAAGATTTAGTCCTGGCTGGTGTGGCTCCGTGGATAGCACCAGCCCGGGAACCAAAGCATCGCCGGTTCGATTCCCAGTCAGGGCACAGGCTTGGGTTGCGGGCCAGGTCCCCAGGAGGGGGTGCACGAGAGGCAACCACATATGGAGGTGTCTCTCCCTGTCTTTCTCCCTCTTTTCCCTTCTAAAATAAATAAATAAAATCTAAAAAAAAAAATCCAGCAACATTTTGTGATTTTTAAAACCCACCACTGGATCTCACAAGTTGTGAAGTCAGGCAAATAAAGGCGCACTCACGTTACAAAAGCCAGTTGCCATGGTGAAACTCATCACCGCGCGTTTCAGAGAGAAACATATGCCCAACAGACATGTGACTTTCTCCTAGGCATGGCCACCTACGTCTGTACTATTTTTTCCTCTATCATTGTAAGTTTTATCCAGTTTTCCTCCTGGTATTTCACCGGCAATGCCAGTAGGAATGGAAGGTTTCCCATGCATCACGTGAGTGCCTTCCTCCCACGTCCTAGTTATGCTGCGTTTTGCGCATGCTGTTGGCTAGGCCATGATTCTTCGGGTCCTTATCACGGCTACGGGAAAACAAAAATGGGAAAAAACAAGACGGGTCTTTGAGGAAACAAGCTTTCCATTGGCCATATTGTGTGTCTCCTGTGATATTTTTCTTGCCTGAATGTTAAAGGAAGAAAGACCTATTTCATTGGGACAGACAAGTGATTCAGAATTGGGGACCAAGTGAAATATCTTTACTACCCGTGTGATAAAAATTTGACCTTCAAGGTCATGGACCTCGAACCGTAGACCTTCAAAGGGTCAACGAGATCACGAAAGCATTTCTTTAAAATCTCAAATTGAGTTTCGCAAGGTCCATATGATTCATTTTTAAGGAAAAGGAACCCAAAAAGTGTTTTGAAAATAAGCACGAAGTTATTGTCAGGCAGCTGCTCTGAAACGGATGGTTTCTATAACACGAGAACTGAGGGTTTCTTACCCCCGAAAAGCTACGCCTGTCGAGGGTTTAGGCGCACACAACCCTCCGAGGGGCCTGATTTAGACGCACCGATTCTGCCCAGGCAGCCCAGGCTGGGGACGGAGGTTCTGGTGATGTGGCTGGTCCATGAGGGCCACGCACTGTAGCATCCACTGGGGTGATGAAATTTGAGGAAATTGGAAAGAATGTCTCTATCTGTCGCATTGCGTGGTAGAAGGAAGCCCGGCTCCATTAACACAATGCCCCCTTCCTGTGGGCCCCTGTTCCCCTCGCCTCTTTTTATTTTATTTTTTTAGCTTTTTATGGATTTGAGTGGGGTGACGTTGGTTCATATAATTATATAGGTCTCGGGTGTACAATTCTGGAATGCATCGTCTGTAGATTGTATTACCATCGCTGTTTTTTTTTTTCATTTTTTAAAATTACTCAGTATAAGAGAGGTACCTTCCAGCTGAGGCCGGCCGTCCTCAGAAATTCTTGAAGACTTCCAAATCTTTGGGAGACACCGCAGGGCCTGTGTTCCAGTCATTCTCAGCGTACGCTTCGAAGTTGGAGGTATCGCCTTCGCCACACACTTTGGGCACGATCGGGGGCTACGAGAGTGTCCATGAGCGAAAAAGCACAGTTAAAAAACCACAGCGAGCACTTAGATGCTTGCACATCCCTCTGCGTCTGTCATCTGATGCAGCCGACACACGTTGGCGGTCTGGGCTGATCCCCAAAGTGTGGGCGGGGGCCGGGCTATCCATATGTCACAGCCTCCCTATGGACTCTAAAGTACCTTGTTGAGAACATTCTACGAGGAAAGCTGCCAAACACATACTCCGTTCAAAGGATGACAATCCACAGAAGCTTTTCTACTTCATCTACAACCATCTCTGCAAAACATCCGTAAGTCCCTCCCAGACACAAACTTTCTCAACGTGGCCACTGAGTCTGTGAAACATGCAGCCGGATCTCCAAAAGTCCGATCGCAAAGGCTCAGGTCTTGGGCTCGCTCCCCCCTCTAGGTGCATCTTTAGCACTAAGACGCCCCCCCGAACAGATAAACGTGGCTTATGAACGCTTTGAAATGATTGGTCAGATTGTGCGAATTAATTATGTATCGGCCACACACAAGTCAGCTGCAGAGTCAGGGTGCTATAACTTTTTGTAAGCATGGCATGTTACGAGTCGCCTGTTGACGTGTGTCGTACCTTGAGTTTTCTCTGTGGGACAGCTTCCCAGTCCACCATCCGGAACCAACGATGACGCTTCACGTCGTCAGCGCCGTTCTTGAAAAGAAACATACGTCATCAGGGAACGGGATGTTGAGGGGATGGGAGATAAAATATCCTCAAGAATCTGCATTGTGGCAGCACAGAAATAAACCACACTGTTTGCTAGGTTTTCAGTGGTTGTTCCTAGAGGGGGAGCTTTTAGGAAAAACTCCCAGTGAAGTTGTTGTTGTTTCCTAATATTCCCTTCTTAGCAGAAATAAATAGTTGCTGGGCTCACACCTGCGCCCGTCTGGAATCAAGACAAAAACACAACCCAGGCCAGCCTCTCAGCATGAAGTGACACAGCCAGTCACTTCCGATTTTGTCCGCTGTGTTCATCTTTACAGCTTGTTTTGGTGTTTGCTAGCCTCACCAGACACAGACACTGAGGTTCACGAAGTTATGAAATTTGCTCAGCCCTGTCCAGCAAGGAGGTCCCGAGACCGAGCCTGGAAGGATGTCCATGTTCAGAGCTCTCAACCGTTGCCCAACATTACCTTCCAAGGAACAACTGAGCTAGGGCTCATGTACGATCCTCTCCAGGGGCCCGCGGACGGCCAGCTGGCCAACGCCACGTTCGCCAGGACCTCAGAAAACCCCTCCCAGGTCTTCATCCTTCGACGACGCCCTTCAATCCTCTGTAGGACACTTTGGCCAACTTTTGAAATCAATAGAATGTTGGAAGTGGTAAGACAGAAAGCTTGGGAATCTTGTTACATGTTCAGTGGATCTGAACGTAACACCAACTTTTGAAAATGAGGGTCAGTTCATAATCTTTAAAGTTTGAATGTCTTTCTTTCACAGAAGAGAAAATTCTGAATCACCACAGCTGAGAAAGGATGCGAATTGTTTCTCCGTTTTTCTAATCTTAGCCTTCTGACAATTCCTCTTTTCCTACGGGAAAACAATATTTCGCACTCACATCTAAGTGCGACAACAGGTATCTGTTGCGTGTTACCTTAAGTGATGTGGAGAGAAGGCAAGGCAGCCTTGAAGTTTATGTTCAAGTAGTTCAAACTACTACCCAGATACTAAGGTATTATCATATTCAGATGATAGAAAGATAGACAGACAGATGGAAAAATAGATGGTAGATTGAAAGACATAAAAGATAGATAGATAAGATGGATATAGAGAAAGAGAAAGGAAGATATATCACAGATACATAGATGTATACATAGATGATAGATAAGCTAGATGATAAAAGGCAGATGATAGATATGGAGAGAGAGGGAAAAGAGGATGGGCAGATGATAGATACATACATACGTAGAGGACAGGACAGATAAATGATAGATAATAGAGATGAAGATTGATAGAGCAAAAATAGTAGATGGACAGATTGACATAGGAAAACAGATGATAGATAGGCAGATAAAATATAGATAAATATGGAGATAAAGGAAAATAGGTAATAGATACATAGATGCATACAGAGATGATAAGTAAGATGGATAATAGAAAGATAAACAAATAAATGGATCGCTAGATTGATCGATAACTCATCCCGCACAGGCCCCTGTTGAGTCATTTGCTTGTATGGACAGAAGACGGGGCGTGAACCCTGCTGGATGTTGCACACCCAGAAACCCCGGTGTGAAACTTGGCCAACGATTCAACATGAACACCGTGCTTTTGTTTTGCTCCATAAATAGAAAGAATGCCAGGGACTCCTCCTGGGAACCGCTTAATCGCAAGGACCCATACTGACCTTCATGTTCCCGAGCCGCCTTGTCCTGTCAACCACAAGAAGTCTCTTAATGAGGTCTCTGTTTGGAGAAAGGAGACAAAAACACAAAAGGCGAACACGTGTTGACACAGACCTGAGGGAACCGAGCGCAGGCCCAGCCATAAAACCTACCCACGCATATGCTGTGGGACAACGGGTCGATTTCTAACATTTTTTAGCATTTTCGACCACTGGAGCTTCCGTGTTATCTGTCCCTTAATACTTTATGGGATGCCGGACAGGGAGAGAGCTCGGCGGAAAAAAGGTTGATTTAATTAAATCTTTGCTCAGAAAATGGCACTTAGACCAGGAGGTAGATCTGTACCTGCTCTGAGAACTGTGAGGCTGTACAAAAAAACACAGCAGTCAGGGGGCGCCTCCCAAAAAGACACCCCCTCTCCCCAAAGCTACACAGTCGTGCTTTGCCCTGCGGGTTTCTGAATTTAGGGGATCCTTGTTTCGCAATGCCTGCCGTCCCGTAAGTACAGAGCCCGCGGGCGGCTTGTACGGTCTGCTGTACCATTCCTGTCTATCTTCCCCCCAGATCGCAGACCAGGTCCAGACGCAGCGCGCCGGCCCGTTCAGACGGGATCCGAGGGGCCCCCGGGTGCAGGGGAGGACCCGGGGCGGCATAAATGACGAGGATTTCATTTCTTTTCTCTCTCTCTCCTTCTTTTTGTATGGGGGTGGCGTCAGAGTAGAGAGGAAAGAGGAAGAGAAAAAAGAGAGAGAGAGGAGAAAGAGAAAAGGGGTAAATGATGAGGAATGTAAACCAAAATAAACTACGAGAATCCAACAGGGAAAATGGAAGGACACCAGACTTAGACGATGTTTATTTCTCCAATGCCTTCTTTTTCCACAAAGCACTGGAAACCTAGACCACGTAGTCATCGAAATGATCTGAGGCTTTCATGTGAATGTCCAAACCAATGGCTTAAAATGTTCGGATGGTCCTTCCCTAGGGAGACTTCTCTTGGAAGAGCTGAAGTCAAAACAAAGGGAAATAGACCCGATGATCTTCTGAGCTGCCTGAGATTTTGCAGGGTCACGCCCTCTGCAGGCACCATGCCCCCGGGGGGCATGGGACCCAAAACTCCGTTCCCCGCAGTGCACCCAGGAGAAATCTAGGTGTCTCAGTTGGCCATCCATGGCCAGGCGTATCCGGGGCTGTGAGGAGCTTCTAATGTCATCATTGGCAAATCACTCATAAATACAGAACTCAATTTTCGAAGTGTTTTGCTACCCATTTGAAATACCGTCCCCCTCACCTCGGATGGAATTTGGACCCCGGAAGAAAAATCCTATACAATAGTTTTCATTTTTTTCTGGACAAAAGAGACTTTTGATTTTGCACTTCACTCCCTTACCAGCATGGGGCACAGTTTCCCTTCTAGGGGATTAGCTTTAAATGCAGCCTCTTTGTTGGCTAAACACTTAGAAAAATCTCGCTAGTGTGTCCAACTCGATACAAGCTCCACCCCACCCAAACGAAGAGAAACGCTGCCCTGTATTTAGACCGACAATCCGCAATCCAAGTGCGCTGCGTCCACCACTAAGAAATACACGTGGACGCAGCCCGGGGTGTGAACGCAATGTCCACAGGCCCCTTAGGAAAAGGAGCAGGAAAAACAGCCAAGTTTGCGCCCGTTCATGATGCGCAAGGAGCAAACGGACCCATCAACTCTCTTGGGCAGCTAGAAATCAGGACTCAGGGTGCAAAACTGCTAAAAGGGATTAAGGTATCTGGGAAGCCAAAAGGGTTCTTGCATTTTTAAACATTTTTTAGTTTAGAGAGAGACAGAGACACACACAGAAAGATATGGGGGCAGGGGGGAGACACACACACATACACACACACACACACACACACACGATGATTTGTGGTTCAACTAATTGGTGCACCATTGGTTAATTCTTGTCTATTTGCCCCGGCTGGTGATCGAACCTGCAACCTTGGCCCATGGGGACGACACTCTAACCAACTGATTCAATGAGACGTGTACTCAGAGAGACTCCCGTGGAGGCAACGCGCAAGTTCTTGAAGCCTCACGTTGATTTCTGAAAATCTCAGTGGGAACGAGGGGTTGAAGAACGAGAATAATTCAGGCAAGCGGAGAAAAAGCTAAAAGTCCGCTGAACGCATTACCGCCGACGCTGGCTGCAGAGCTGGCTGGAGAAGGGGTCCCCTGCATGTGTAATGCCCCCACGTCTCCCTCGTTACATATCGTAACACGCACATTTACGTGCTCACTGTAAATGCCATTTATACCCAACGGTGCCAATTTCTGCCAAGACTCACGAACAGGCTAAACGTCATGAAAGCGGAGGAGGGGAAACCCTTTTTCGCTTCTGTGGAAAAGATGCCCCAGATACAACACAACACACAGAATAACGCAACACAGCCTCCCTCTCGGCCGATGCCAGGCTTGCGACGTTTTTCTTTTCTTCCCTCCTCGACGCTTTCAAAATAAACATGCCCGCAGACGAAGGAAACTTTTCACTTACTTGACATTGAAATCCAAGTGTCTGGGGAAATCAATTTTGCCGGCAAGAATTTTCTGATAGATGCCAAACGGGTTGTCATCAAAAAACGGAGGAAACCTGTTGGAAGCATCGACATTTATTTTTAGTGGGCAGGCGGCAGAGATGGCAAAAGCCCCGCTCGGTGGCCACAGCCACGGGGGTCTGGCGGGGGCGGGACGGAGGTTATTTCCCACGTTGCCTTTTCTTGCACGGACAGTCCTACCAGGGACCCAAGGGAAGGGGCTGTTCTAAGCAAAGCGAGACACCTGGCCACGTGGGCCACGGGAAAGCAGTCAGGGACCACGTGACCGGTCCTCATGGGAAACGTAGACATGTTACTGCACTAGACCGTGATTGGCCATCTTTGTCTTCTTCGCTCTTATGGGCGTAAATCACACACAGTAGGGCCTCCATAAATATGTACAGGACAAATCGGAGAGGATGGGAACATGGGGTCTAATTTTTTGGCGACCGCAGTCTGTAAGTTTACTTTTTAATTTTAATCCCACCCAGGATAGGTTTATTGTTTTGAGAGAGTGAGAGCGCGAAACATCGATCGGTTGCCTCCTGTTCATGCCCCGACCGGGGGTCGAACCCGTAACCTTTCAGTGTGTGGGATGATGCGCCAACCAACCGAGCCACCCGGCTGGGATGGTGTGTTACTTTATAGAAGCCGATGCCTGAACCTCCAGGGATGATGAATTATCTTAGGCTGGTTTGTAGCTTGCAACGTGGGGACCGACGATTTGGTCTGAGGGGCTGGCCCGTGACGTCCCACAGCCTCATTTTGTAAATCAAGCTTTACTGACACATGGCTTATCTAGTGTCTGTTGTGGTAGGGGGAAGATTGGAACCGTAGTGTAGAAATCAACAGACCTATCTTTTCCAATATCTGGAAATTAAAAAGAAGACCCAGAAATGGTCTAAACAAGAAATATACGTAGTGTAAAAAACAAGAAAAAATCGAAGTAAACCTAGGAGTTAATACATACATACTGCATACCTACGTGTGCCGAGTTATAATTTTGATAGTTTCTCAAATGTAAAAAACGCAAAGATGCTCCACGCAAAAAGCACAACCTCTAAGTAGCTTTTGTAGAATGAGGTCTTATGAGTCAGTGAACAGGCAATGGAAACATTTGATAAAATGGCGATTTCACACGATACCTGCAGTAAGGACAGCAAATTTCAACGACCAAAATTAATTCTCTTGCTGTTTTCAAATGACGTTTTTAAGTCTGAAATAAAAATGCTGCCTGTCGTGTTGAATGGTGGCTTCCAAAAAGAGGCCTCCAAGGTCTCACTCGGACAGCGTGTGCGTCTGAACTCTTATGCAAACAGGCTCTTTGCAGGGGGTGGGCATGACCAAAGGATCTGGGAGGAGGGCGTCCTGGGTCAGGTGGTCCTACGTCCAAGGACAGCGTCTGTAGAAGGGACAGAAGTGGGGATGCGGACACAGAGGAGACGCCCCGTGGAGACGGAGGCAGAGAGGGAGGCACGCGGCCGCCCGCCCAGGGACATGGTGCGGGGGGCGGGGCCGGGAGCTGGGAGAGGCGGGAAGGGCCCTCCCTGGAGCCTGCGGAGGGAGCGCGGCCCCGGGGGCACCTGGGCCTCAGACGCCGGGTCTCCAGGATGGAAAGAGAATGAATTCCTGTGATCGAAGCCTCGTAATGTGTGGTCATTTGTGGGGACTGTCGCAGGACATGCATGCACGGAACGTCCACGTTAACTCTCTCCATTTCTATCAGGGACGTACAGAAACAGAAAAAGTCAAGAAGGGAACTATAAGGTCCAGGAACAAAAACCCATGGGAAGCAGAAGCAGGTGAATTAGGAAAATGAAAGATCCTGCAGCAATATAATAACGTAGCTGTGCTGGACGTGGTATGAAATAGCCTTTAAAAAAGAAAATCAGCTCCTTTGACACGCTGACGTAAACAGAGCCACTGTGTTGAGGAGGCAGCAGCCTTAGAACGTCTGGCTAGTAAGGTCTCCTCCCCAAAACGCTCCTGCTTCTAGTTACGAGCTCCACGTGCCGAGACGCTGCCCTGGCCGGGCTTGGCGGTAAAGGGTTATTCACTGTCCCTTCCACTCCCTGCCCATTGTCAACGTCTTCAAGTTCATCTCTCTTCAGTCCGCCCTTTGCCACCTGACAGGTGCCTTCTGCCCAACAACAGCGGGGTGGGCAGGGGGCTACCCGTGTGTCTTGGGTGGCCGCCTCACCTCTGTTCAATGCTCTTACTTCATGGGGGACATGTACCTCTTCTGCAACCGGACAGGAAACGCCAGGAGAAAGTGAGCCACGCAGACCTGAACACGCTTAGAGAGACTATTTTCTCCACAGGCCTCTTGGGAAGCAGGCATTCCGTGACTGCATCATGGGAAAGAGACATGAGCGGTAGTCGAATGCGTGGAAACAAAATACCAGATCTTGCCCGAAGGAGAACACGTATTTGGGAACTAGGAGGCCCCCTACTCAGTGACAAAGTGCTCCAAGATGTCCTCCAATGTCTCTGTGAAATGCAACAAGACAGTTTCTGTTGTTTGTAGTCAATAGAGCCAGTTCCATGGCATTGGGCATTTTAAGCAACTTCGAGAATTGTATGCCAAAGGACCAAGTCTTCTTTGGCATGAAGGTCGACTCAAGAATTTCCCCTTAAAAAACGCGTTCGGTGGAAGCCTGTTTCTCAGCCTGGCGAGATCTCGCTTCCAGGTGCAGCCTTGGTCTGTGTCCCATTTTTATAAAAAGGTAAAGATATGCAGATGGTGACGGAAGAAGCCCTGACGTGAGAGGGGAGCCCACGGTACAACCGACAGATGATGCGTCATGGCATTGTGCACGTGGCACCTATAAAACGTGACGAACCAACGTCATCCCAATAAATGTCATGATATTCAAAATAATGCAGGACAATGTTGCCGTTGTCTGCCCTGTCTGTACACGGTCCTCTTTATGGAACTGTTCTAAATCCCTCAACTAAAACGGACTGTCCGGAACGTGGCAGCATAGTTATAACTCAGACCCACAGCGGGTATTCTTGGTAAAACATGACCCTCAACGATCCGCGACCGAGCCAGGTAACATCCTACCGCGACAGGATTTCCTACCACGGTCCCAGGGCAGATTTTACGCAACTACTGGGTCTTTGTTAGACTGCATAAAAGATTTAGACAATCAGTTTGAGCGATAACTGCAGAGACAAAGACCGAGCCTTGCTTGGTCCTCCTAAGGGTGCACACACAGAACACGGAAATGCGCTACGCAGGCTGGACACGGGAAGACCCTGAACCAAAGGCCACCTCCTCCGCCCCGCGCGGCAGCTGCCTTCCGTGGCCAGGTTCCAGCGGAGGAGGACGGCGGCTGGATCCGGGGGGCCTGGCGGGGGACGGACACCCACAAGCAAACGGCTGCAGACCCCACGATGAAGAAGGCAGCACGGCCGTGGAGCCAGACTCACGGGGGCATAGGGCAGGGTCCTGAAGTCACGGCGGGGGTCAGAGAAGGAGAAGGGAAGGGGCCAGACCCGGGGGGCGGGGGAGCCCGGCGGGGGGCGCCGTGTGGCCCGGTGAGGGGGCAGCAGCCAGGCCACCCCCTGCGTCTCGCGGGGAGCGTCTCCCGCAGGGCGTACCAGAGCCGCAGGGAAGGAGCAGCTCGGGGTTTTGCAGTGGCGGGCACCAGGGAGAGCGACGGGGTCTGCTGGGTGTGCGTGCAGGCGGGAGGCGGGGGGCGGGGGCGCGCAGCTGGGTGCGATGGGGGGGAAAGCGGGCACCGATCCAGGCCCGCGGTGCGGCCGGGAGACCCCAGGACGGCCGGCCAGGCCTGTGCCCGCCCGGGGGCGATGGCTCTCAAGGAGCCCGCCCGGAAAACCGGGCTCCTGCCAGCGGAAAGGCTGGAAACGGGAAATACGCTCCCGGCCGGCGACTGAGGGAGGGCAAAGGTCAGCCTGCCGCGCTCCAGGGGGAGAGTTCTAATCAGTCACTGTCCACCGTTCTCACCACAGAGCCTAATAACAAATCAGGTTCCAGGTGCCTTGTTTCCTTTTCTATGCTGACGCTAGCAGACCGTTAGAAATAGTCTGTTACTAGCGTTCAATGTCATCAGTAGAAACATTCTGTTAGAATAATAGAAATATTGCATTTTCTAATATTGTAATATACTCTCATATTAGAATAGGTCATGTCCTAATGATTGTAACAATCCTTTGTATAATTCTGATACGTGCTTTTAATATTTAACAATTGCCTACTGTATTCTAGCAATATTTTGTTCAATAGCGTACTGTTTTACTATTGTATTTGTTAATAGCATGGCATATTGTGCTGTTCTGCCCTACTAATAAAACAGGAAAGACAAAAGCTGGGAACCTAATAACAAAATTACATTCTCCCCTCATAATAAAATAGGAGAGAGAAAACCTGTGAACCTCATGCAATTTAGCGATCACTGGACCCCCACGGTATGGTTATCGGCGGACAATACTGCCCTCTAGGGGTCGCTCGGTAACATGACAGGCGGAGAGCGAGCTGAGCACGTAGCAGAGGATGCGGATCGAGCCGGCAAAACCACCACCTCTGTATCTCTTCACGGACTGAGCCAACAGGTAGGATGCGTTACTGTAACCTTTGTGTCTGTGCGTTAAGGGATGTAGTCGGTGTGATTTGCTAGAGACATCTGAGTAAGCGGTGATGGAAAACTCTAAAGAAGGGGTGGGCAGGTAAGTAGATGATAGATAGACACGAATGATAGATGAATAGATAATGTATAAAGAGATGGTAGAGATAGACAGACAGATAGATTGATAGATTGATAGATAGATAGATAGATGGCATAGGGGGTGGATAGACAGGTCCATAGACAGATAGGTAGATAGATGATCGTTATGCAATAGATGGCAGACAACAATAAATCATAGGGAGAGGTATTATAAAGAGATGCCGGCATATAGACAGCAAAGTGAATCCTGATTTGCACAGACTCCACTCTGGCTGGTCAGTCTCCACACAGACAAATGCCTCTTTCCACCTTAGTTTCCAACAGGAAGGGAAGGTCTCCAGGTGCACATCTGCGGACACTTCCTGCCTCACTCAGGTGCGGAGCAGGGTCCGGCTCTTGCTGCGACCGGGAGCAAGCTCAGTGTGTCCGTGGGACTCACCGGCAGGACTCGGACGGGGAAGAAAGAAATCGTCAGCCGAGGGGGGCGGTGTGAGGGGCGGAGAGGCAGCCCGGCCCAGCGACCACAGAAAGGGTCTCATCTCAGCCCGTCGGCCCCACCGCACCATCAGAGGCGAGAAAGAGCCTTCGGCACCCCGGACGAGGATGCGTGCCCGGACCCAGGGTTCCTTGAGGCAGCGCGGGGGGAAAAGCGACCTTCCAAACATCCCTCCGCGCAGAAACACGGCACTCAGGGTTTTCTGGGGTCCAGGAAAACAAACTCTCCTTCCTGCCTGGTCGTTCTCACCGAGTTCTAAACTGCGTTTGATTTATTTATGTTTGTCCAACAGGGAGCTTACCCAGCGGCAAAGAGCCCGTGCAGAGATGAAGATCGTGTTGACGGCGGGGAGGAGGGACATTGAGGTGCAGGGTAAAGGGGTCTCCAGCCCTGGCTGGTGTGGCTCAGTGGACTGAGCATCGCCTACAGACCAAAGGGTCGCCAGTTCGATTCCCAGTCCGGGCACCTGCCTGGGTTGCGGGCCAGATTCCCCAGCAGGGGGTGCAAGAGAGGCACCCACACACGAATGTTTCTCTCCCTCTTTCTCCCCCTCCTTTCCCCTCTCTCTAAAAATAAATAAATAAATAAAGTCTTTACATTAAAGAAACCAAAAGGAGGCCTACAGGTGTCCCCAGGCAGTGGTGTGACGCACCGGTCTGTATTTCTGGTCTTAGGAAGCCTGCTGCGTTCTCGGGTCGCATGGCCAACCTCGGCGGTGGGGTCCGGTGGGAACCACACCCCAAGAACGTGCACGCCAAGTGCACCGTCTGGGGGCTCATAGAGCCAGGGATGGAAGCAGGGGACAGAAGCCTTGGGGAGCATGTTCTGACCCTTCCCAGGAGCCTGTACTCACCCTGAGAGCATCTCAAATATGAGGATGCCCAGTGCCCACCAGTCCACGGCTCTCCCGTGGCCCTTGCTCTGGATGACCTCCGGGGCCAGGTACTCGGGGGTCCCGCAGAGAGTCCACGTCCTGCGGAGACAAAGGGGTGCACAGAAAGTCAGCAGCGTTTGGCTAGGGCCGGCAGGCCCTATGGGCTGTGTTCATGATCCAACTGCCTGTCCCGCCAAAGTGAATATAAATAACAGTGAATGTCCACGGTCACGGAAAAAATAAAAGAAGATAATTTTGAAAAAAATCCCTTGACTTACAGATGGATATTTTAATTATACATGTATGCACACATACAATTTCTCTATTACAGTTTACATTCTCTATCGTTCTGCATTAGTTTCGGATGAACAGCAGCGTGGTGGCAAAACCATGTACTTCACAGAGGTTGCCTGATATTTTAAGCAATAATTAAATAATAATATTTAAGGAATAATAATTCCTTTCATTGTGAATGGATTGAATGCTTCCACCAACAGACAGAGGGTAGCTGAATGGGTAAGAAAACAAGACCCCCGTACCCGCTGTCTCCCGGAGACCGCCCCTCCCCAAGAACAAACAACACAGAAACGTGGTTGATTAGTTTTTACTAATTGGGAGACAAGGTGGCCGAAGCTGATTTTCTTGTGGTGGTCGTGTGAAAATAAAGTGCGTACAGCACTGTGTTGCCCCGAACACGCCGACGACCACAAAATCCAATTCCTTCGGCGAGAGAAAAAGGGTGATGGCGGGTTGCAATCCGCTGGCTGAGCGCGCGGCGGAGCTGACTCACGGTGCGCAGCCCTCGATGGCAACAGTAACACTGTCTCCGCTGACTTGTTTCCTTGCGCAGCCTCGGCAACCTGCCGGCTGCCCTGCCTTGTTACAGCTGTTCTCCTCAGGGAGTGAGCCTCCCTAGAAAGGCCAGGAACATCCCCTCACTGACTGCATCTGGGGGCGGGGGTCCTTAAGGAGCCTGCGCTGGCTCCGTGGGCGTAAACAAGCCCTTTCTCTCCTCCAAGGGGAACTCGGAAGCTCGTGCTAATTGTTTTCCACCTGCTCAAGCAAAGGTTTGAAGGGTCTGCGATGCTTTGGGGGGCTTGCTGTCGTGTCAACGGCGCGGACGGGGTATCACATTCAGGGACACGGGGACCTCACGGGATGAAATGGGGCAGAGAAGGTCTGACAGGGTTTTCTCCGCAGATGAGGAGGCATCATGTGCAAAAAAAAAAAAATTAGCTTCTAGCCCCACCTAGAGGACAGATGGATGAAAGCAAGAGAGTCTCCACTGCCCAATGGTTTTCTGCCTATTCGGTTGGTTCTTGTGATTTTTATTGGGGTCACGCCTTAGATGTGTATTTGTCACATCAGACGGGGAAACAGTTCCTTTCCTCTCCTTAGAAAAGCATTTTCTCTCTGCTTCCAAAGAGCCGCGCCGTGTAATGACAACCTGGGCTGCTTCTGCAGACGTATCTGAGTTTTACGTTCTCTGAAAAACGTACGATGCATTGCCTCGACTTGCTCCGAGCCTGCAAAAGGCGACACGGAGAATTTTGCGAACACAACCTCACCTGCAAAAACGTAAAGGTGCAGAGTTTGCCTTGTAAATCACAGCGCGGCGGCTCCATTGACGGACTACTACCCCTGTGGTGTTCGTTTGAAAGTTGCCTACCAGAGTCGATAGAAAAATTTCTCCTCGCAAGAGCAGGGTGGCAACTAGTGAGGAGGTGGATGTTTGCTCGATTTGTTCTGCTGGTCACCTTGCAAGATGTGCATATATCCAATCAATTGTGATTGAGACTGGGAAATAACAGAATGGGATGGTGATTGTATGTCAATTAAAAAAAAGATACAGATGCCCGGCCAGGAAGCTCAGTGGGTTGGAGCCTCGTTCTGTTCACCCAAAGGCTGTGGATTCGAGTGGATTCCCGGTCAGGGCACATGCCTAGGTTGGAGGTTGGGGTCCCCGTCAGGGTGCACACGGGGGGGCACCTGATTGGTGTTTCTCACACCGATGCTTCTCTGCCTCTCTCTTCCTGTGGCCGGAAGCCTGGGAGAGAGGGTCCTCGCTGACACCAAAGACCAGGTGGAGGCAGCCACAGGAAACTGTACCTGCCCCAGATACCGCATCTCCGCTTACACCTGGAGAGGCGAGTCTGTTCTTTGGCTCCCTCCTAAGGTCCAGGGCACGGGTCGTAAAATTGTCAGGTTTCTAGGTGGCCTCGGGGAGCCGGACCCCTTGCTAGGGTAGGACGTTCCTGCAAAAAGCCTCACATCTTCTGGGGTGTACAGAGATAAAGGGTGCCCACGTATCAACCAGACCAACAGCCCGGGAGCCACTGGCTGGTGGAGACTGAATAATCCATGACTCTGAGCGTATCTCCTTCTGCTCGGAGACACAGCAAGGTGACACCTCCCCACGCCCCCCCCCGCCCCAATCCTCGGCCTGGTCACTGTTACCGGTGCCACCCGGAGCAGGGGTGGGGGACGGCGTTAGCCACGGAAATACGGGGTTCTCCGTCAAGGGGGGATGGGAGAAGCTCACACGGTCTTCGTCCCCCACTTGCCTAACCTGACATGTATCCTGGGGTGAATGGTGTTGCCCGACAGTCGTGCACCCCGTTCCTGTGCATGGGAGCTTATGTGGGGACAGGGTCTTGTGGGTGGAGTTAAGTTAACATGCGTTCGTCCTGCGGAATTAAGAAGGGACTCATTGAGCGACTGGCCTCCGTATAAAAAGGACACAGAGGAAGAGACGGACAGACAGACAGACCTCTCTCTGTGCCATGTGCGAACACAGGGAGACGGAGCTCCCGTGAAATCCAGGGAGAGAACTCCACTGGGAACGGGGAAATCAACGATAATTCTTGTGCGCCCCTCCATCGCGCAGGAGGACTTCGTGTTTCATATAAAGCGCGTACGCAAGGGAGCGCCCTTCAGAGTCAGATGATTTCTCGACAGAAACTTTGCAGGCCAGAAGGCACTGGACAGGAAGAGACAAAATCATGAAAAGCAAGCGCCCACGCCCCACACTGCTCTACCCAGCAGGGCTGTTACTTCCAATCAAAGGAGCAATAAAGAGTTGCCCAGCCAAGGAAAAGCTAAAGGAGCTCATCACCCCCAAACCAGTGTTACCCGAAGTGTCGAAAGGTCTTCTTCACGGAGAAGAAAAACACAACAAGTAGGAATAACAACACGGCAAGAAATACATGTCTATCCACCATGGAATCCAAACAAAGAGACTAGAAACCAACTCATGGATACAGAGAGTATGTGGACAGCTGCGGAGGTGGGGGGGGGCGGGGCCGGGGATTGGGAGATCGGGTGACAAAGGTGAAGGGGTTAAACAGTACAAATTGGTAGTTAGGGCACAGCCACAGGGATGTAAAGTCCCGCCCAGGCAACCGAGTCAGTGATAGGGCAGTAACTCTGCGTGGGGCACGGGGCTGCGAGACTTATCGGGGTGACGATCAGGAAGTAAGTGACTGCCTGCTCGCTGCACTGCACGGCTGAGACCATTATAGTCACGTATGTAATGGAACCATTTTAAAAGGGGAAAAAGCGTGTGCACGCCAGCGGGGGAAACAACAGGTTCATACACCCACACGCAAGGTCACTGGGAGGACACGAGAGTTCCGTCCCACCCAGGGACAAGAGAAAACCGTCGGGGAAAGCCTCCTCCGTGAAGTCACGGGGAGCCAAAAAAGTGCACTGGTACGGTGAGGAGGGTTCTGAATTCCAACCCGCTCACGTACGTTCTCCCTCAGGCACAAAACGGGGGGAACGCGCTGCGCTCCGTGGCAGAAATATTATTCAGGATGCGGTCTGTCCGTTTTGGTCCTCGCGTTTTGCCGTGAGTCCTGGGGGCTGGAGGGACGTCTGGCTATGTTTGTGCGGAAGAGGGGCCGTACGAAGCGCCCGGTTTGGGGACGGTTGGCTGGGGACGAGTTCTTTAAGCAAAGCAAGCGGAACCCCTGAACAGGAAGAAAACGGGCCGAAGCCAAAAAAAAAAAAAAAAAAAAAAAAAAGAGCTTAGCAAGCCACACTAACCCATGTCTAGGAAGATAAAAGTTCTTTCCAGAAGCCATCTATCAAGCTGGTAAGAAGTCCGTCTTTCCAAAGCATCAACCTATTCATTCAGTGAATTACCCGCCTGTTGGTACATACTGAACTGATCTCATTAGTGGAATCTTCAACGCGCTAACTGCGTAGGAACATGGTTTGCCAAACGTGTCATCCAGTGAATCTGAGGGAGATTCTCTTTCGGATTCGTTGGCCTCAGACTTCCAAATACAAGGGGTTAAAAATGAATCAAGGGCGCATCCTATACCACGTGCTGCCCATAGGGGGCAGCACCGACATACTGAAACGGCCTCCCATTCCCCCCTGAATGAGGTTTTCACTCTACTACCTAAAAACACCTGGTGTCTATCTAATTTATTCTTAGAAATGGAGCCAATGGAATTCTCCAAGGGAAAATGAAACCGAATTAAACCGCATCAAAAACCCACGGGATGGTCCCTGTTTGACAAACCATCAGACAGACAAATAATGTAGTATAAAGCCGCCCCAAATCAAGTTTCCCATAAATACAGATGTGTCTCCAATGCGAGGGATCCAGTTATTTCTTTATCAGCGTCTGCCTGTCTGACAGGTAGCTACTCAGCCCTTGAAATGCACTGAGCAACGCACATTGCAACCTACTTATATGAACTTTAAAAACAAACCCCCACACGCGATGCAGTTACGAACCAATGTTGAAGGATTTTTGGAGAGTTTGGGCATGTGAAGGGGCCTCGGCCATGGGAAATGTTAGGGATCAGGTGTTTGTGATAAAATCGTACGGCCCTGCTTCAGGCGCCCGGCGGGAATGAAATGCACCTGGCATTGTAAAAACTTGGCAGCGAGAAGGCATGGCACCTCTCCGCTTTTATGAGGGCGGGTTGCCGACGTGGCTGCTCTGGTCATCGACTGAATTAAAGAGACATGTTAGGAAAAGTACCCCGTCTTGCAGGGGAAAGAAAACAAGATTCCTTGAAAATTTTAAGTCACCCGTGCGATTATCTGTATTACGACAAGTCTGCTCCAGAGCAACAGACCTTGTAGACCATCAATTACGAAAATTGTCCGGAGCATCCACTGTATGAATGCATGTTATTATCAGCAGCGGTGGGGATGTGAGAACTAACACTGTCCCCGACGGCTCTCTCCGGATGTGTCTGCCTTTAAGGCCGCATGATACTACATGACTTGGCGAGCCATTCGGGACATGAGAGAGACAGCTCACGTGTTATTATGGGATAAAAGCAACCGGAACAACGAAGGGGAAAGAACCCCACAACAGAAAAACTAACATGTGACGTGAAGAAGAGAAAACAGCCCCGGAGGAAACAACGTCTCCTCTGCCACTTTGATACACTTGCTCTCTCTCTCTCTCTCTCTCTCACTTCTTTGCACTGAGACTCTAGAAGGGCGTTGAAAACAAATGCGTAGGCCTCAAGAGCTGCCCCCTTTGCCTCCTGTAAGGGGACCCCTGGGGTAAATGCGCAGGATTCACACCGTTAAGAGCAGCTGGTGCCCTTCGTTTAGTTGAAGAGGTGCATCATATTGATTGTTTTCCTCATACTGAACCATGCTTGCCTGCCCGCGACAAACCCCACGTATGACATCTTTTCACTGTACCGCTACCTTCCAGTTGCTAAGGCGTCGTTGAGAATGTCTGTCGTATACCTGCAACCAATATAACAGTCAACATCAACTAAAATGGACGTTATGTATTATGGACGTACGCACATGAGCGAGGGAACCATCGTCTCCCCGTCGAATCAAGCAAAACATCTTTTAAACGGAACTACGTACAATTTGCTTTTATCTTTTTAGTCTCTGGTCCTAACAACGGTGAATATGAGACGTCATTCCCCATTAATTCCATTTTTCGAAATGTCAATTAAACAAAACTGTCGATTAGAGTTCCAGCGACATCGCAGTTTCAGAATGAATCGGAAACACAAGTATTTCTGCACAGTGTAGGGCCTGTGCAGGTTATTTACATAAGAAAACACTAACACTATTAAGCTCTGTATTCACGAAGAGGACCTTTTGTTGTGTTTTGTGACTATAAGAAATAAAGAGCAAGATAACAGATTTTTTTAAAAATACGTAAAGAGGCCCTCGCTCTTTTTGTGTTCATAGTCCGTTTTTGTGAAGCGTGGTCGATTAACCAAATTCAGCTCTGCCGACTCCCAGCCCATAATAAACAGGATTTGTTTAAGGAAGATCATTTTTTAAGTGTAACTCACAGTCGTTAAGGGACAAGGAGAAAACAGGACAGTTTCTATTTAAGTTTTGGAAGCGGCCCAGGAGGCGGGCAGGCGAGCTGGCTGAGACACCTGAGGTTTCACGGTGGCGCCCGGTGGAACATAAACCAAACCGTGGGGGATGGGTGAGTGTGGAGATAAAGCTCCTAGACGCACAGATGTCAATTAAAAAAAAAAAAAAAGTTTCTGGAGCTACGTCACCTCACACCCGTCAGAACAGGCGGCCCCAATAAATCCGCCAGCAAACAGTGTGGGCGAGGACAGAAAGGCCAGCCCTCAGGCACTGAGGGTGGGGAAGCAGACGGGGGGGGGGGGGGAGCGTGGCATGCCCTCCGGCAACTAAAAAGGGAACTGCCTTTGGACTCAGCGATCGCACTGCATCTCTGAAGAAATGCAGAACAGTAATCGAAAAGAATACCGGGACGCCCGGGTTCGTTGCCGCGTTATACGCAACGGCCAAAATGTGGAAACAACTTCTGTATCCACTGGTGAACGAACGGATAAAAAAAAAGAAAACGTGGCACACAGAAGGGACGGATACTGTGTAGCCATTTGCGAGAGCTCGGATGGCCTTGGAAGGTTTCATGCCAAGTGAGGTAAGGCAGAGAAAGCCAAATACTCTATGATCGCAAGAGTACGTGGAATGTAAGGAAAAGAAAAAAGCTCCCCAAAGAGAGAGCAGGTTGGCGGTGGGGCGCAAGGATGGGGCAGGGTAAGAGGGCGGGGGTGGGGGGCCTCGGTCACTTACTTGTCCACCAGCTTCTTGGCGAACCCAAAGTCGGTGAGCTTGACGTGCCCGTCCCTGTCCAGCAGGATGTTCTCCGGCTTCAAGTCCCGGTAGACGATCTCCTTGGAGTGCAGGTACTCGATGGCGCAGACGATCTCCGCCGAGTAGAAGAGCCCCGCGTTGCTGGAGAAGCGGCCGCGGTTCCGCAGGTAGCTGAACAGCTCGCCGCCGGGCACGAACTCCATCAGCATGTAGAGGAAGCGGTCATCGTGCCACGTCCAGAACCTGTGGCGGATACGAGGGGACTGAGGGCCGAGCCGCGGCGGAGACGGCGCAGGGGCGCACGGATGGGAGGGCGCGCGGGCGGAGACGCGCACGAAGGAGCAGTTGCGCCCCGTCGGGAGGGCGCGGGCGGAGAGCGCGCACGGAAGTGCAGGGGCGCCCGGATGGGAGGGTGCGGGCCGAGAGCGCGCCCGGATGAGAGCCTGTGAATCAATGTTAGAATATTCATACACCCGGACAGATACTAAGATCTGCTATTTTCAGATGTTAGCATTGGTTCGATAGCTGTTATGGGTATCACATAAAAGTGATGTCACGTGCCTAGGTACATGCGAAGGTACAGGTATCCTTATTAAATGGGCGAAAGTTTAAGAGTGGCCATGGCTGGTTGGCTTCGAGGACTGAGCGCCGGCCTGCGAACCAAAGGGTCCCTGCTTTGGTTCCCAGTCCGGGCACAGGCCTGGGTTGCCCGCCAGGTCCCCAGCAGGGGGCGCGTGAGAGGCAGCCACACATGCACGTTTCTCTCCTTCTCTTTCTCCCTCCCTTCCCCTCTCTCTACAAATAAATAGAATCTTTTTAACCAAAAGTTTGAGAATGGACAAGAAAAATACCATGTGTTGGTAATAAAGGGGCTACCAGCCTTTTATGGCCTGAATTCTGTCCTGCAACATTCATATCGTTCAGCAGTAACTCCCAAGACCTCAGAGAGCAGCTGCATTTGGAGACAGATCTGCGAAGAGGTGATGAAGGAAAAGGGAGGTCCCTAAGGTGGGTCCTGATCCCACAGGACAGGGGTCCTTAGAAGAGGAGGAGATGGGGACACAGTCACACCCAGAGGGACCCCCGTGGGAGGACACGGGGGCAGACGGCCGTCCCCGCGCCCAGGGGAGGGGCCTCAGGGGGGCCAGCCCTGCCCCTGCCTGGACCTTGGATTTTCCAGCCTCCAGGACAGGGAGGGAGACACGTCTGGGGCGCTGGGCATCCCCTTTTCGGGGGAAGGCATCATTTAACAGCATTTAATGGACTGGAAGAAATCCATCTCTGTTTCTTAAGCTGCCGTGCTGTTGACATTTGCTTTGGCCTCTCTAGCCCACGCGAACCCTGTGGGCACATTTGCAGGGATCACGCCCTGTTCCCTGCGCCAACTCCAGCCGTGCCTGGAAACTTACAGCTGATTAATGGACCGCCGCCCCCCGCAGAAGGTGGCACTAAACGCTGCACCGTGAGAGGTTTCTAAGCAATTACGGGTCGGAGATGGCCCGGGAGAGCCAGGAGGGCGGCAGCTTCCTTTACAAAAGCTTCGAAGGGCTCTGTGACTGAAAAAGGAAGCCCCGTCAGGAACCGGGGAGGGAAAGACAGCGGGGATCAGAGACAGGGGCAGCCGTGCCGAGTGCAGACAGGCACGTCGGCGTTGGTGGGCGAAGCGTGTTTTCCCATCAAGGAGATGTGGCGAAGAGAGGCAGGAGCTTTGGCATCATGGAGACTGTTTTTGAGACGATTTAAGGGACACCCATATGTCGGGGATACCACGAGAGTCCGCGGAGCCACGCCGGGAAGGTGCCTGGTGGGGAACTCTTCCGCGCCGCGCAGAACTGGGGACGCACACGATGCTGTGAACGCAGATCGGACCATGGGCTCCCAGGGCGATGCTCAGGCAGCATCGACCAGCGGCTCCGCCCCGCCCCCACTCCCGGAAGGGCCACACGGATGAAATACAGTAAAATAAAGACACGGCACTTGCGGGGGGTGGGGGGCACACGGAGAGCTGGCACAGGCCTCGAGAGTAGCTCCCAGGGACGTCACAGAGAAACCAGCAGGAGGTGCAGTCATCGGGACAGGAACGGCGAATACGAATGAACGAACAGAACAGGTGCGTCTGCGGGGACCAATAACAGCCGTCGAAGAAGCAGGAACCGTTTCTACGCCAAAGAAGAGCCCTGTGCTAAAAAGGATCATTAGGAAATGCAAGACCGCACTCTGCTGGGAACGTCCTCAGCGCTTCCGTTTGGCCCGGGACGGGGCCCTTCTGTGTTCGGGACGAGACGAGGGTCCTGTGGCCCCACAGCTTGGGCGGAAGGCGCATGGCGAGGCGCAGGCTGTGGGCGACGAGCATCTCCTGCGGGCGCAATAGCTGCCCGCAAATAGGGTTTGGGGAAATGCCACCGCCTTCTCCGCGCTGCTTCTCACCCTGAGCCCGGGACGCTCTCTGAGGGACGCAGGGGTGTCCCGGTTCCCTCCTCGCCGCGTGGGAGGCTCAGGATCTGGGGTCCGGAAGCACGAAGGGACCGGACCCAGGCCGTGCGCGCGGCGCTGGCTTTCTGCAGGCAGCTCTCTCGCTGGCCGGGCTGGGCCAACGCCAGCCTCGCTCCCCGCCCGTCACACGGGGTGAGTCACCTCCTGTGGCCCCGACCCCACCTGGCCGCTCTGTACGAGGATTCGGAGAGGTTCCTGCCGGGGACCCCGAAGCTCAGTCAGACAGCCCAGGGCAGGCTCGGTATCCCGGGGTAGAAGGATACCAGGGGGCCCTTGAGAACATGGCCCCCCAACCCCGAAACGGGGCTGCCGTGTTCCCCAACAGTGCACTGCGCTGAAAAGGAAGAATAGGCAGAACCCCGTACATATTGTACGTAAACACACCCACACGTGTCATGCACCTGTTTCTTGAAATTGAAGATCCGCAGCAGCCCCCATCCTTTCTCTAACTCTCGAGCACAACGTGCCACCTCATGCCAAAGCCGCCTCATTTCCCTCTTCGGGGGCATCGGACATAATGAGCAAAGAGGCGGTTCGCAGCGAAAGAGGTGGAAGGAAGACGCTGGAGGCGTAAGGCACGAGGAGGCTGGGTCAGTCCTCCCAACGTGTGGGCGCCGGCCCGGCCACGGGGCAGCCAGCTGTGGGCAAACACGTCCGGTTCGCGTGCCCAGCGTCCTGGGCCAGGGCAGGTCCGCCCTGGAAGAGCCTGGACCCCGCGCCTGGTGTTCTGCTCTTCAATGCAGCACGTGGGCGCGTCTCCACGGCACCCGGCAGTCCCGCGTCTCCCGGGGACGGCGTCGGGTCCCACAGTGCCAGCACGCGGTGCCACAAGACGGCGCCCCCGTCCGACAGCCACGGGAAGAGCAGGCGGTTTCCTGCATTGCTACCTGCCCGGCTGGACCCCGGAAGGTCCCGGAAGGCCCTCGGTGTTCAGCGCATTTGCCAGAGTGGCTCACGGAATTCCGAAAAACATGCTCCTCCCGGGGTCCCCGCTGTTTTAGAAAAGGAGGTAACTCGGGAACAGGGAGGTGGAAGGGATGCGTACGGCAAGGGACAGGGAAGGCGGGGGGGCGGGGGCGGTCCATGCCGTCTGCAACCAGCAGCTCCGGCTGTTCCCCAACCCACACACTCTCTGCGTTCATCCTCGGGGAGTGACGGCAGCTTCGGGGAGTGCACGGCTCCACCTCCAGCCGCTCCCCCCTGCCTGGAGGTTGGGGGCCGAGCTGAAAGTCCCAGCCCCTAACCCCCTGGCTGGTCTCCCTGCCCCCAGTCCCCATCCTTAGGTGGACGCCCAAAAGTCATCTCATTGACAAACCATGGCTTTTTCGGCCTCGTCCCTGCAAATCCCAAGAGGGAAGCTCTGTCAGACGCGGAGAGGAAGAACCAAATATGCAGGAAGAACGGCACTGCCTTCTCAAGCGTCAGGAGGCACCAGGCGGGAAGCAGAAAGACTGTGATCTCAGGCTGTCGGGAGAGACACCTGCTCCACCCGTCTCTCCATAAACGCATTCAAAACACGGACGAAGTGTCATGCCCGCGAAGAACCCTGTGTATTACGTGAGTGAAGTCACGTTTACCTCCCCACGCCACAGCCACGGGCCCCCAGGTACCCGCGTCCCTGAGCAGCCGTAGGCTCCATACAAACCCTGTCCATCCTGAGTCCAAAACGGTGGCTACGAAAAGAATATTTGGTGAGAGCCCCCATCCCGATCCCGTCGTCTTTCTCCAAATCGGTAAGGTCCCCGAAACACCGTGGTGGGGGACGCAACAAAACGAACAACAACAAACACAAACCAACAAAGAAAACGCAGGTCCATCTTTCGCTCCCACCCCCACAGCTAAGACCCCGCTTTTACGGAGAGCATTCGTACCGCGTGGGGTACGAGTCCTGCTAAGAACGGAGATATTCACAGCGCGACGAACAGCACCATGTCCGGGAGGTGGACAGAGATGGTGTTGGCACCCGCGGCCTGGGGGCCGGCAGGACACCCTCGGGGGGGCCACCCAGAAATTAAAATCTGGGCTGAGAAAGGGACCGCCTGGGAGGCAAGCAGGCGACGCGGGGGTCCCGTCGTCCTCATTGTGGGCATGACGCTGGCCCTGCGCTGACTGTAGGAAGAAATAAAAGTGCATGTCACCGAGCACCACGCTCTCCAAGGACCATCCCCGCGAAGGGCGGGGGCTGTTTTTCCCCAGCTGCGTCATCGTGCCCGGGGCCAATGTACCGCAGCGTTTTTGCCCACTCATCCGCTGATGGGTGCCTTGGGCTGCTTCCAAATCTTAAAAATACGCCGGACAGAGACAGGAAAGTACTGATGTGATTTCCCTGCTATGTGGAAGCTCATGAAGAACAGAAACGCCTGAGCGACAGAGACACAGATTCCCGGGTCCGGAAACCGGATGGGCAGCTGACGGGCAGATGTGGGGGCCGGGCGAGAAGGGTGGAGGGGTTGAGCCGGAACAGCTCCCCGACACAGGCAGCCGAGGGGACGGGGGAGGAAGGGGAGGGTCACGCGGGATCAAGGGCGATGGAAGGGGACTGGACGTGGGGCGTCAGCCCGTCACGGAAGAGGCAGGTGGTGACGTATTACAGAAGCGGGCGCGTGCAACCGCAGTAATTTTATCACCGCCTGTCACCCTCATAAATTCAATAAAAAAGAAAAAAAAGAGTGCAAAAGCCAAGAGAAGGAGAAGGTCTATCCCAAGGACGGGAGACGCAGAGGGGTGTGTGGGATCGAAAGCTCACAGGA